GGGATTACAGGCACACGCCACCATGCCCAGCTAATTTTTTGTATTTTTAGTAGAGACAGGGTTTCACCATGTTGACCAGGATGGTCTCGATCTCTTGACCTCGTGATCCACCCGCCTCGGCCTCCCAAAGTGCTGGGATTACAGGCTTGAGCCACCGCGCCCGGCCCACAATGTGTTATAATCATGCCATTACACTCCACCCTAGGCGACAGAGACCCTGTCTCTTTTAAAATTTTTAAAAAAAAAAAAAAAAAAAGGGCAAACCAAGGATGTCAAAGTTTTCATCATTTTCATCTGGGCATACTACACATAACACTGATAAAATAGGTTTGCTTGGATTTTCTGGTGAGAAAAAGCTTCTTAATATGAGCATCTTAATCAAACATATCTCCCTTCTTACCAATTAAAAAGACAGTATACTGAAACAAAGTTTATGTCCCCAAAATGAAAACTTCCTAGTTGTTTTTTATTTTTTGGTTTTTTTTTTTTTTTGGAGACAAAGTTTCACTCTTGTTACCCAGGCTGGAGTGCAATGGCCAGATCTTGGCTCACCATAACCTCTGCTTCCTGGGTTCAAGCGATTCTTCTAACTCAGCCTCCCAAGTAGCTAGGATTACACACATAAGCCACCATGCCCAGCTAATTTTTGTAATTTTAGTAGAGACAGGGCTTCTCCATGTTAGTTAGGCTGGTCTCAAACTCCTGATCTCAGGTGATCCGCCCACCTTGGCCTCCCAAAGTGCTGGGATTACAGGCATGAGACACCACGCCCAGCAACTTCCTAGTTTTTAATTACTAAATATGCCATGTCTTATACAGCATTTTTATCCTCACTTGCTTTACTTAACTTTTACTTTCTCAAATAATTTCCCCATTCCTTTAAAATTGGGACAAAATTCAAATTTAATGGCTTTCAATAAAGTAAAATTCCATTTTGTATTCAATTCATAGTGTTTCTATTCTGGTAACATCTGAAAAGAACTTACTTTACTGAAGAACTTAGTGCTTTATACCAACTAAATTTCATGACCAATGAAAATCACAAAGTTTCTAGAGATTTTTTTTCTAACATCTATAGAACTTTATAACATTAATTTTGTACGCACATTAAATACTGGTTTAAAAAAACTATGTTTCTTGTCTTCAGTAGTCTGCCACCTTACTGTCAAACCTTTTAGTCTCAGAACTCCTTTCCAAACTCATATATTACTGATGTTCACAAAAAACTTTTGTCCATGTGGTATATGTGTATATATTGACATATACTGTATCACAACAGAAATTTAAATTTTTAAATTCATCAAAAAATAAATCCACTACACATTAACATAAATTAACATTTTATGAAAAACATTTTTCAAAACAACAAAAAAAGTTTAATGAGAAAACCGTGTTTTACACTTTCACAAATTTCCGTAACGTGTACTTTCACAAATTTCCATAACGTGTAGAGTAAATAAAAGACATTAAAGCCTCAGATCTGCTTCTGTATTCAATCTCTTAAGAGCAATACATGGCTCGGGCTTAAGCAAATGAAGAGTATCTAATTTCACAGATATGTACCTGAAAAGGGCAAGAATAACCTAATATCCTTTCAGCCTATTGCGGGTTTTCTCTGATACTACACCAAACTTAACAAGTGTCAGTTTCTTCAAGTTCAGTCCAAATGTGGAATCTGACACTCTATCTGTAAACTTTCTATATTGTTATTGGTCTATTTTGCACTTTGAATGGATCTTTTACCCATGCATAATTTTATAATATGAGTTGGTCATTTGAAAACTGCTGATTCACCAAGCTATCATACAGCTCTTCCAAGAGTTAGCACATTTCATTAAAATACAGTATCAAAAAAGCTTTGTTAGTATCACTAGCCATCTCAACAGAAAAATACTAAGAATTTATCAAGTTCATAACAGATTTGAGTTTTCCAAAATTCTAATTTTCACTGGAAAGCACAAATTTTCTTTCTTCACATGACAGGCTTACTTCATTTTTTTTTTTTTTAATAAAGTATCTGTCACTTAACTACATTAATCTCAAAACCACAGTCAATCAGTCATTCTTTCAAGTAACAACAGCATTTCATGAAAATAGCATCTAGTTCTGCTTACCACTCACAGAACTGCATTAACTGAAAAAAAAAAAGTGTTTTTTAAAGACATTTCTTATTTTGATATACAACAAAAATCCTTTATTAAAGCATACTTCCCGTTTCATCACAAAGAATACTATAAAGATATGCAGCAGGAACTACAAACCAAAACCATAACAAGATACCACTTCATACCCACTAGGATGGCTGTAATCAGAAACATGGGCAATAATAAGGTTGGTGGAACTAGAGAGAAACTGGAACCCTCAACACATGTAAAACAGTATAGTCTCTTTGGAAAAATACAACTGTTAAAACACAATTGCCATATAACCCAACAATCCAGTCCTAGGTACATATCCAAAAGAAAACATTTCCACACAAAATACTACCTATACGTATGTTCATAGCAGCATTATTCATCATAGCAAAAAAAGTGGAAACAACCTAAATGTCTATATCAACAGATAAATAAAATGTGGTATATCCATACAATGGAATAGTATTCGGCCATAAAAAGAAATGAAGTACTGACACATGCTACGACACAGTGAACCTTGAAAACATCATGCTAAATGAAAGATGCCGAACACTAAAGGACACATATTGTACAGTTACACTGATATGAAGTAACAGGCAAATCCAAAGAAACAGAAAGTAGAGTAGTGGTTGTCACGGGCTGAGGGGATGAGAATGAAGAGTGACTGCTAAAGAGTTTGAGTTTCCTTTTGGGGTGATAAAAATGCTCTAAAATTAGATCATAATGGTTGTACAACTCTATGACCATAGTTATAACCAGTGAATTGTATAAAGAGTATTATGGTATGCGAATTATATCCCAATAAAGCCATTATTTTTAAAAAAGACAGGCAGCCTCAAGGGTCAAGATTTAGTAAAAACTACTCTTACTGGTTCATCAAGGTCATTATTCAGTGAAACTGGGATTTTTCTTTAACTGCAAGTGCATGGTCATGAAGAATATGGCAACTGCTATTACAGTTTGCTGTCACTGCCCTGATTTATGCTAAGACACAAGCAGTCACTGCAAGTGTCAGCATCTCTCTATTAAAAATACAAAAATTGGCGGGGTACAGTGGCTCACAACTGTAATCCCAGCACTTTGGGAGGCTGAGATGGGCGGATCACAGGTCAGGAGTTTGAGACCAGCCTGGCCAACATACGGAAACTCCGTCTCTACTTTAAAAAAAAAAAAAAGCAAAAATTAGCCAGACATAGTGGTGAACGTCTATAATCCCAGCTACTTGGGAGGCTGAGGCAGGAGAATCACTTGAACTCAGGAGGTGGTGGCTGCAGTGAGCCGAGATTGCACACTGCACTCCAACCTGGGTGACAGAGCAAGACTCCGTCTCAAAAAAAAAGTAGTCAAGCACAGCAGTATGCACCTGTAATCCAGCTACTCGGGGGACTGAGGCATGAGAATTGCTTGAACCCAGGAGGCAGAGGTTGCAGTGAGCCCTTCAGTCTGGGGGACAGAGTGAGACTCTATCTCAAAAAAAAAAAAAAAAAAAAAAATACCACTGCTCTAAACCAGCTTCAGAAATCCTAATCCCAACCCCTAAAAAAATCATCACAGCGGCCGGGCACAGTGGCTCACACCTGTAATCCCAGCACTTTGGGAGGCCGAGGTGGGCACATCACGAGGTCAGGAGTTCAAGATCAGACTGGCCAACATGGTGAAACACCATCTCTACTAAGAAATACAAAAATCCACTGGGCATGGTGGCTCATTCCTATAATCCCAGCTACTTGGGAGGCTGAGGTAGGAGAACTGCTTGAACCGGAACCCAGGATGTGGAGGTTGCAGTGAGCTGAGATCGTGCCACTGCACTCCAGCCTGGGCTACAGAGTGAGACTACATCTCAAAACAACAACAACAAAAAATCATCACAGCATCACAGCTTCAGAAGGCTCAAATGCAATTAAAGGATTTACAAATACAGATCTGAGGTTCTAAGACCATTCCAATTTTCTAAGCATGTATCACAAATTTCTCAAAAGAAAAAAGGTAATCTCTAAATGGTGATGGGAGTTACTTCAACCAGTTCAGTTAAAATCTCCCAATTTAAGAATTTAGAATCACTGACGCGATGAAAGACTAATAGTACAATCTCCACAGAAATTCAAATACAAAACAGAATTAAAAGTAATTATGTTCAGTAGTTAGTGCACAACAAAACATTCAAATGTTATGTAAACAGACCACATTGATAGGGTAAAAAAGACATTATCTCTTTTTAAACTTTATTATTTAATTCTTATACAAGTGTAAGAGTAGACTTCTGAAACATCTACTCATACTATCAATAACTATTTTTAGCACAGAATCAAAGAATTTTTGGTCTGGTCACCTAGACAGTTACCTAGTCCAACACCTCCATTTTACTCAACGAGGAAACTGAGTTTACAAGAGAAAAATAACCAAAATCACACACCTAACAAGTGGCTAAGGCATATAAGTAGTCTTTACTCCCTGTACCATGTTTTCACTATACCAACCTGACTCCTCAATCAAATAGAATACACAAAATTTTTAATTCACATGACATTAAGGCCAATCAAGACACTCTACCTGCCAAATAAAAATTTTATAATGACTGATATCATCAATCAGATGTCAAAACAAAAATTGTTCAAAAAAAAAACAAAACTACAAATGTAATTGGCATGATAGAAAAATGAATCCCTAACTTCACAAACTACAAACTTTCAAAGAACAATTTGGAAGATACTTTGATGTCTACTTTCATACAAACATATTTTCACACAAACATTGATCATTACCTCTAATGTGAGCCTGATGCTGACAAACACCTTAAGCAAAAAAAATTTCCCTCTATGTATTATCACTGAACTCATTTATGGTACGACATAACTTAAGACTCACCTGCAGGACTGTCAGCATTCTCTCCTGGATGTAGCTGTATACCAGTAGAATCTATAGAGTTTACTGTAACTGTCTGTAGATTTGGCAACTGACCAGTGCTTAGACTAACTGGAGTTGAAGTGAAGGCTCCACCTGCCGCAACTTGACCAAGTGTGAGTGTCTGAACAGGCGTCAAAGTTATTTGTTGGGCAGCAGTATTCTGTATTTGCAAATTCTGCAAGTTCTGGACCCCTTGTACTTGAAACGTTTGCCAAGTTATCTGTCCAGAAGGGGTCACTGTCTGTGCCTGAATTAAAAAGGTTCCAGGATTCAGCTGCAATTGAAGATTTTGCAAAGCCTGTTGTGATATATTTTGACCACTGGCTTGCACACCATGGATTGTCTGTGGTGTAATACCTTGCACAATTTGGGCTTGACTGGTTGGCTGCTGAGACTCTTGAAGTTGTAGATGTTGTACAACAGGCTGTGCTGTAGAAACCTGAATATTCTGTGCCTGTGTCTCTTCAGAAACAGGCGACTGGATATAATTTCCCTGAAGATCTGAAGAATGAACTTGGCCACTAGATGCAGTCAAGCTATTTGTGTTTTGTTGTAATATACCTGTACTATCTATCGTAACAGGCAACTGTGAAGAGGAGGATGTTGGCACAAATAAATCTGTATCGGTATTAGTTTCATTAATATCAGGAGAAACCCGCTCACCAGTCCTTTCTGAATTGTCTGAACTATCCATAGCTTGTCCTGTGTTTATCAAATGTCCATCGGCATTAATGCCTGCAGTCATTGTCTGAGAACTGCCCGAGAGTCCCAAAGAATCTAGATCGACACTATTGATTGGTACAAACGTAATGTTTCCTGGCAGACCAAGAGGCACATTAGCAACTACTTGGGTTTGACCAGGAAAAGATGAACCACCAATTGCAACTCCCTGAACCTGGACTTGACCAGTCTGTGGTATGAGATTCTGGATGTTAGCAGGAGGTGTTCCAGAGGCAAGTAAGGTTTGATTAGAGCCAGGAATGATCTGAATTTGACTGCTTTCTTGATTTATACCCCCATTATCTGAAGAGCCTGTGAAACCTATTTGAACCTGCTGACCATCTGTTGACTGAATCTGTGGTATTACTTGATATTGAACATTGGACACTGTACCATTTGATGAATCTGATCCTGGTGCAACTGAAAATATTTGTTGATTCTGCAAATTCTGAAGGGGAAGAACATACTGCCCACTTGAAGTAGTAGCACTTGGAATCTGTACTAGATTACCAGCTTCATCCTTTATAGTTGTAGGTGTGGCTGACAAAACCTCCCATCGGTTTGGTGCTCCTCCTAACTGTGCAGAAGCCAAATCACCTGTCTGGATGAAGAAAACAAAAATGTGATATATTTGTGGTATATTTAAACCAACTCTCAAAACATTCTAAAAACTGGTATAAATCCTACTACCTGAAAATTCAACTTATCTTAAAATACAGTAGAGTTCAAATACAGTAAGTACAGTACTATATGAACTACAATAATTATCACTTCCAGCTTTGTTACTGCAAAGACAAGTCATCCTATTTGAGTGGAATAAAAAAAAAATTCTCAGCATGTTCATCACAACCACAACCCAATCTACTAATCCTGCATCTATGATCTCTAACACTGTACAGTTAAAAAAAAAAAAAAAACAGCAAAGATGGCTATGACTGAATCAGGTGTGTTATATTTGTGTATAAAAAGGAAACATTAGTATAGTGTATTGTCATCGAGTTAGAAAAGATTTATTTATTATTGCTATAAACTTAAAATCAAACAATTAAATCTACTCCTTTGTGGCATGTATTAACATACTCTAAAGTAAACTCATGGCTAGGACTATTCCATTAGCAAGCTATCAAACTCTTCACTTTTTCTGTCAACTATTAAAAAATAAAGACCTTAAAAAAACTTAATGAGAAAAGGTCACTGCCCTGGAACCACATGACCACGCAGCCCCATTTGAAAGGTTTCTCTATAATCAGAAGCTGCAGCATACACACTGTGGCTCTACCTACTATTCTAAGTTTGCAGTAGACTACCTGGCATATATTTTTTGTATTCTGGTGTAAGCCTGGCATTACCCTGCAAACTCAGAATAGTAGGTAAAGCAACAGTCTGTATGCTTCTGGACCTGCTAGATGCTCAGTTTTCAACCCCACAGTTTATGGATTAGACAAGACTGGAAAAAATCCAATTTAGAAAAGCAGAAAGCAATAAAACCCTACATGTCAATGCCAAGAGTAGATTTCTTTTTTTTTTTTTTTAGGAAAATAATAGCAATAATGTTTAACATTTAAGCTTTCATATGCCAAGAACTATGAGAGAGGTTTACAAGATTATGTAATTTAATCCTTAAAACAATCCTATGAGACAGATATTATCCCTATTTCACAGCTGAGAAAACTGAGGGACAAAATCACATAGCTATCAAACAGACAAAACAGGATTTAAAACTAGGCTAAGCTTGACTCCAAAACCCAGGCCCTTAAACACCGCATCATGTCTGTATCATACCTACCCCCAAGACCAATGGCAAAGACACAGGAAATAAGACCTATATAATTTGCTATCAAAATAAAGCCATCCTTCTCCTACTTCCTTCTAGATCGATCTGTTGAGTTCAGTAACTCCCCAAATCATTAGACAACGGAAACATAAGCATATCTAGCCCAGCATTGTCAACCTAAGATCCATAATTGGGCTTCAATTCAAGGAAGCCCTTTAAAACAGCATGCCAACTTTTTGACAAAGTATTAACACCATTTGAAAGGGTGAAAGACAATCCAGGGTTTCATCGAACTCTCAATGGGAGTCCATGACTGTAACTATCAGTAAAGATATATACAGTTCTCCCAACATAAACCATTCCATAAAACTTAATGCAAATACGATAAACAAAAAAATCTTCGGTTAAAGAAACTCACTACCTAATTTTCATGAAGACATAGTTGAGAAGTATATACAATATTTCAGTGAACGAACCAGTTAAATGACTCAATTAAAACATCTGAACGTAATCTACCAAGATGAAATACACATGTGAGTAAACCATGGCATACAATTCCTATCTTCAAATGGTTCACTGTAAATCCAAGCAAATAGACACACATCCATGACAATACAAAGTAGCATATACTAATCATATGATCAAAAACACTCTGCGGAAGATACAAGACTGAAAAAAAAAAGATTTCATTAGAGATATTTTAAACTAGTATTAGTAAGATTTTACTACAGTCAATTTAAAAAGAGGCATTAATAAAGACATAGAAACAAAATCACAGACAGAAAGAAACCCTAAATAATAATACGCAGTTTGGAGTTGAAGAGGTGGTCCCAAAAAGGCTCATATTCATAGAGAAAAGTAAAGGGGAACAGGACTAGACATTTTTATCAAGGCTTGTAAATGGCTTCACAGATCCCACTAAATTGTTTGGACTTTATTCTGCAGATAGTGAATGAAAGCTATAAAAGGTTTATAAGCAAGTGAGTGATGCAATCACATCTGTGTTTTATAAAGATAAACTAAGGCTCAGTGAAGGAGACTGAAAGGCAGAAGAGACTAATGGCTGAGAAACTGAGAGACCCAATACAAATCTCTAGGCCTGAACTAAAACAGTAATCTGTCTTACCTACACTTAAATTACACTTACTAAACTATTTTAAAATGAAGCATCAGACATTGAAGTCACATGTCATTCTGCAACTTCAATCTGGTATAGAAATTACAAGGTTAAATTACCTTTCCTAACATTACAGTGACAAATCATGCTTCATTTCAGTCTCTTAGCATTTTAAGTAAACTACAAATATTTAAATCTATACACTAAAATCTACACTAAAGTGTCTAAAATCCAATCGTTATCTTAAGGTTACCGCTCACCTGGAGAATCCACTGAAATTTTTTTCTGACTAGCATTAAATTTACAAGTATTGAACTTTTATCAAAGAATACAGCAATTCAGTATATGTGCTGCCGAAGCGAGCACGAATACAGCAATTCAGACACAAATTAATTTTATAGTACTGGCATTTTGTCCCGTTTCCTTTCTTTAAAAACAAAAAGTCAAATTTACAGCATCTAAAGTTTTGGGGTTTTTTTACAAAATAGTAATAAAGGCAGATATTCAACCATCACTGAACAGCTTTCTAGTCAAGAAATTCCTTGAAAATAAAATACAACTACTCAAATGACAAATCTGAGTAAATACTGCCCAAGTCACCCCCTCTCCAGAAACTAGATAAAAATAAACTGTGGTTTCATTTATCCCAGCAATTTAGGCCATTAATTGAATGAAAATCTCTAAACCTACAGCAAAGTGATGTGTTCTGAACTTTTCTGAATAAGCAGGAAATGAAAAGCATATAAAATACCTGTGAAGCACAAAGATGAAAACAAAAAGCAACAGATAATTTAAGAATCAAACAAGAAAATGGACTTTTTTAAGGTAATGAATTTGCAGTTTAAAAAAAAAATTTGCTAAACACCCTATTTTCTAAATGAAGTGGAGAAAAAAAATCAGAAAAGTACTAGATGATTTATGCTAAAACTACGGCTGACAGAGAAGAACATATACTAGAAAGAAAAGAACTCAGAACTGAGTTCTAGTTCTGACTACACCGTGGAATTGTGTGAGATCAACTCAATTTCCCCATGTCAACAACCAGAAAAACATTACCCTGAAGGGTCATAAGAACCACAGAAAAACATTAAGTCTTATAAACTATTGAGCACTGTGCAATCCCAAAATCATTGTGATTACTAAAATTATGAGAATAGGCTTGAAAAACATCCATTCAATGCCTAGCACAATTCCCGACAAACAGTAAGATCAATATATATTTACTGAATGAAGTTATTTTACTTTAAAATCATTGCAAACACAATGACAAACTGGATCAAAACAAATTTTGAGATATTAAGAGCCTTCTATGAAAAAATCTAAACCAATTTTAAACCTATTTATTTCCACAATTCCACAATGCATCAGCCCCAAATATTTCAAAACTATAAAGCCTTGTAAAGCACAATCATTTGTAAAAGAAATTTCATCAGGAATACACCACTGAAAGAGATAAAGTATACTAAATACCAAATGGGAAAGGAATAAATTAGAAAATCATGTGAGACCAAAAAAAACAAAAAAGTTTGAAAAATATTCTGTCAAACTACTGGAAACACTATAGAAACAAAGGAAGAAAAAGAGATTTAAAAACACAACCACGGCCAGGCGCGATGGCTCACGCCTGCAATCCCAGCACTTTGGGAGGCAGAAGCGGACTGATCACAAAGTCAGGAGTTCGAGACCAGCCTGGCCACATGGTGAAACCCCGTCTCTACTAAAATACAAAAAAAGTAGCCGGGCATGGTACCTGTAAGCTCAGCTACTCAGGGGCTGAGGCAGCAGAATGCCTCGGGCCTGGGAGGTAGAGGTCACAGTGAGCCAAGACTGTGCCACTGCACTCCAGCCTGGGTGACAGGGCAAGACTCAGTCTCAAAAAAATAAACATAAAAGTAAATTAAAACAGGCAACCTAGACAATAGTATTTGGTTTAGAAGCAAGATAATCCTCTACATAACTTATGTCTACGTTAAGTTATACAACTAAATTAAAAATCCACCAGTGTTTCTCTCAGTACCTAATATTCTTACTGGACAATTAACAAACAAAACCCAGGTGGGTGGATCCTTTGAGTCTAGGAGTTCAAGACAAGCCTGGGCAACATGGGGAAACCCTATCTCCACAAAAATTAGCTACGTGTGGTGGCACGTGCCTACAGTCTCAGCTACTAGGGAGGCTGAGGTGGGAGGATCAATTGAGCCCCAGTGGTGGAGGTTGCAGTGAGCCATAACTGTGCCACTGCACTCCAACCTGGGAGACAAAAGGAGACTTTCACAAAAAACAAACAAAACATCTAACATGCATGTTGGCATTAGCACTGTATAAAGTTGTAACTAAGGCACTCTAAGACTCTCTACATACAAAAATACCTCTGGAAAGGGAAAATGAAAAAATTAACACCACCTATTCCATAGCATTTGGAAATGATCATTAACTTAGTTCCCACAAAAGCCTTTATGAAAGCCAGAAACAGGAAAGGAAGGAGCATAACTGGAAACAAGAGCAAGTGTGAAGCTGAGGTGGAAACAAACTAAGAACTTAGGCAAATATTCAAGTTTCTTTAAATCTTCAAACAGCACTAAAAGAACTCAAACAGACTTAAAATAGAAATAATTACCCTACCCAAAGAATTAGTTACAATGACAGCATAGGTCTTGTTTTAAATAATGGCAAAATAACTTTTTTTGAAGTCATTAGATTTTTAGCTCACCAACATTTATGTGACAAATAACCAACACTAAATTTACAACCTAAACCAAAGATTAGGCAATCATTTTCATAATGTTCACTTAAGTTTATCCCCCTAACGTACAAATGAAATAAGTAAATTAATAATCCACAAGTTCACATAAATGCAAACTGGTCAAAGTTAATACTTGCACAAAGGTCTACTTTTTTCTATTTCCTGGTTTACTACTAAAATTAGCCACACAACTTAAGTACAAAGGAGGCTTGCTATAAAACCATCTTTCAGAGTCCATGTTGTAGGACATTACATGTGAAACTGCTTTGTGACTAGACTTCTTCAGCAATGTACTGCGGGTATCCAAACACCCTTGGCTAGGATCCTCTTTTATGACAAATTCAAAATCCAAATATTAAAAACGATCTTCAGCACAGCTGATTGGCTTTTCAGGGCCCCTTTAATCTCAAAATACCAAGCTAAACTGGCATAAAGTTGAACTGTATGTGTATATTTCTACTTATTTAAACAAAACAATATATACGCAATGTGTTGTCTACCCTGGACTGGATCCCAGAAGAGAAAATGGACATCAGTGGAAAACCTGGTGAAATGCAAATGAAGTCTAGTTGGTAATATCATACCAATGTTCATTTCTTAGTTTTGATGAATGTATCATGGTTAACATTAGGGGAAGCTGGATGATGGGTATGAGATAACTCACAGTTCTGTATTTCCAACTTTTCTGTAAATTTTAAATTATTCCAAAGTACAATTACTTAAAAATAAAGTTTAGATTTGCACTGGAAAAAAAATTTTTCTATTTGCTAAGACAAATATACTCAAGCCAGTCTTACCAATTTTAAACAAAGTGAAAAATCTTGTGTGCAAGTACCAAACATTGAAAAAAAAAAAAAGGCTTTTTTTTACAGGCAAAACTATTTTCATTTTACTATGATTGGCAAACTATGATGAATTTGATTGGTAAATCTCAGATTTATCAGATTGATTCTAGTTCATGTTCATCTGGCAGCAAATGTGTTATCAGGAATACTTTAGTAATTCAGAGAAGAAGCTAAAAAGGCACAGAAACAACTTCCCCACAGGTATATGGCCACAGATGGCTAACGCTGGAGACAGTACTCTATCCCTGGGCCTCAGACTCACATATATATGTACATACACTTATTTTTCACCCATACTTCCTTACTTCTCTCCTCCCCCATCTGTAAACTGATATCTAAACTTTACAAATAACAGTTACAAGAAAAGTTCTGTTCCATTAGAAATGGAAAAAAGATTAGTAGAAGCAATCTACTTTCTAATTTTACTTATGCAGTAGTTTTTTAAGATAAACCGTTGGTTTTGGCACTTTGGAACTAGAGGGATACAGTTCATTAAAAAAGGTCTATCAACCCTCAGTGAAGCTGAAGGCCTACCAATTCATAAATGTGTTTAAAAATAACGATGTCTAATAATTTTACACTTTTACATCTTAATCTGCTTATGAAAAAACAAGACATTAAACTATTCACATCCCCTATAACAAAACACTAAAATTACGTATCTATTGACCAATAATAGCTTAACATTAGTTTAAATTTTAAATACTTGGACATACGAAGCATTTGCTGCAGACTATACCAAATACCAAACTTCTGTCTTCAATGACTATTCAGAGTATCACTCCACAAATCAATTCCTATGATCCACCACACACACACACACACACACACACACACACGAGTGGGTTTTCATTATTTTAATAGGCGAACAAATCTACACATGAACAGCAATGATCCAAATGTAAAATTCGCAATCAACAGTCTAAAAACTGTTTCTACACTATTTGTATTAGGCCCCCCAAATAACACAGGCGAGCTCCTCCCCTTGCCCCAGACACTGAAAACACTAGAAAATCCCACATCTTAACCTCACTAGCAGTCATAATAAAATAAAAATATAGTTTTACCAACCAAATTCAACTTAGTACTATTAGTATTCATGTAAATCTAATGCCTTACATATACTTTTGTTTCTAACACTGTCACACTCAGTTTCAAAAGCTAAAGTACTATCCAAGCAACTTTGCTAATTTCAAAGGCTGCTAAATGTTTCACTTATACCCTTACCAAAAAAGAAAAAAAACAGCAAATTTAAGTAGTCTGCAAAAACAATGATTTCAAATGGTCACTAAAAAGGCAAAATGTGTTCACTCCTGCATACAAAAGGGTAATTCAAAAACTAAACCCTCATTTTTTAAATAATGTGTGATTTAAAGCAGTAAGATCTTGTAACTTCCAACAGAAAATGCTCCAGATTCAAAACTAAAAACTAGACACTGCCTGTAGTTGATACTACCTATGGCCGATAGGCTGTGCTTGAAAATTTTGTAGTGTTCAGCGAAGGAGTTTTCGGCACTGATATGAATTGCTCAAACATCCATTTTGGAGTCCTCCTCCCCCGCCCTCTCAGACTTCATTTTGTAAAGAATTTTGTGCGAGGTGCCGCAGTGACAATTTCGAGAAAGCCTGGGCTGACTTCAGATCCAAGCAGGGATGCGAAAGAGCAGCAAAGGGCGCCCTGAGGCCCGGCGGCCCGTCCGGGTCGGGGGAAGCGCGGGCGCCGGGGAGGCCTTTTGGGCGGGCGCGCCGCGGGCCCGGGATGGCGGGCGCCGGGCCTCGGCGGGGGCGGGCCGCGCGCGGGACTTACCGCTCCGGCGGCGGCGGGGGCCCCGGCTGCGGCGGCCGCCTCCTCCTCGTCGTCGCCCGGCGATGGCGGCCCTATCTTGCTGCAGGTAGCGGCCAGCAGAGCAAGCGGTGACGGCTGAGTGTCCTACCCCCGATGGGCGGGTTCAGAGAGGGAGACAGGGGGAGGGGGTGGCGGTTAGGGCCGGGCCGCCGCTCGCACAGGAAGTGCGACTCGGTCCCCGCCGACTGCGACCGGGCGAGCGCCAGCCCGCGCTCTCCTCGTCGTCCTCCTCCTCCTGGTCCTGCCGCCGGCCCCCGCCTGGCGCACCCCGCTCCACGCACCCCGGCTCCCCCGTCCGCGGGCAGGCGGGCGGCGGGCTGCGCGCCGGGCCTCCGCCTTCCGCCCGGAACCCACCCCCGGGAGGGCGCGCTGGGGCCCACACTCACGCGCGCACAAAAAAGGCGGCGGGCGGGGCGGGGCGGCGCGGCGCGGGCGGGGTCGGAGCGTTGGCGCCTCGGGCGGGCAGCACCCGGGGCGGGGGGAGGGGAGCGGAGGGGAGGGGAGGGAAGAGGCGAGGAGGGAGGGGAGAAGTGAAGAGGGAGGGGAGAGGCGAGGGGAGGAGAAAGCGGCGCGAGGGGGGAGCCGGACCGGGGCTCAGCCGCTCCTCACCTGGGCCGCCGCCGCCGCCACCGCGCCGTTTCCGTGCTGTTGCTGCTGCTGCAGATACTCGCCGTGGCCGCCGCCGCCGCCGCCGCCGCCGCCGCCGCCGCCGCCGCCGCCGCTGTCCACGTCCAAGGCAGCCATTTCCTCTTGTTTCACGGGCTTTTCGGGAGCTGCAGGCACAGCGCGGGGGGGTGGGGGTGGGGAGGAAGGCGGGTGGCGGAGAGGGAGGGGGCCCGCGGGCCGAGGCGAAATTACTCCCAAAGCCCGGACCCAGGCCCCTTCCCCTCCCCCACCCGCCCTCCGGCGGCGGCGGCGGCGGCGGCGGCTCCCTCCTCCCCTCCTGCTGCTGCCCCCGCCCGCCGCTGCCTGTAACCCTCCTCCTCCTCCTCTTTCCCTCCTCCTCCTCCTCCCCGCGCTGCCCCTGCCCCCTCTCCTCTCCTCCCCTTTCCCTTCGCGCCGCTCGCTCTCACTCGCGCTCGCTCCTCTCGCACCGTCAGTCACTCACACACGCCCGCCCGCGCCCGCACACAGGGGGATGCGCTCCCGGCGGACCGCGCCGCCCGCCCCGGGGCCTGGCGGGGAGACGGCGTTGCTGGGGCTTCGGGGGTGGACGGTAGCTGGCGGGGAAGGAAGGGAGGCGGAGGGGAGTGCAGCTTTCTGCCTCTCACAGACACTCGGTCGCACACACGGGGCCGGGACCGGCGGCGGCGGCCCCGGGCTGGCTGTGGTCGGCGGCAGCAGCGGCGGCGGCAGCAGCAAGGGTTGCTCTCTCTCGGCTTTACGTACCGGTCATAGTGTGTTTAGGGCACCTCAGGCGGGGCTCCCCGCCGCCTTACACATGGTGAGGAGCGAAGGCGGCGGCGGCGGGAGAGGATGCGGGAAGCGGCGGCGGACACGGCCGGAGCGGTCCGGGGGTTTTTTTTTCCTATTTTGATTGACTGTGCGGGAAACACAAAAGGTGGAGCCTCCAGCCCAAAAGGGGGGAAGAGGGTGACAGCCTGCCCGGAACTCCCGCCCCTCTTCTTGGCTCTCATTCGCCGCCGCTCTCTCCATCGGCTGTGCTCATTGGTCCAGGCGCCCGTCGGTCGCTCTGCCAGGCGGCGCGCTTCCTGTTTGCCCCCCGGGTGGAAGGGGAGAGACAATGAGCGGCCGTGGCAGCGTAGGTTCCCGAGAGCGGCTACGGCTCGCCGGTTACCCCGCTGTGCCCGCCTCTCTCGTCGGCTGCGGCTGCCAGGCCCGAGGCGCAGGCCTCTTCCACCTCGCAGGCGCTCGGAGCAGGCCTAACCAAGCTGTGGGGGAGCTCAGCTGGGGAGGAAATTCGTCCCCGGTGACTCCGGCTCCACTCGACGCTTCTTCCATCTCAGCGGCAGCCTCGGCCGGCTCTCCCCAGGGCCTCGCGCTCTTGGAGCCGCCGTTTCCCTGCGCTGCCAGGAGGCCACCGCCGCTCAGCCCCGGGGCTGCTGTTGCGGCCGCTGCCGATACTGAGCAAACCAGACCCGCCCCACGAGCCCGGGGGGAGGGAGCTGGTATTAGGGGAGACACCCCCTCCGAGGCTGGAGGAGGATTTTCTCTCACACAGTCAGCTCTCAGATTCACAGTCACAGCCATCTCGCTCCCAGCCCCCTTAGCCTCAGCTTACCAATCTCCCACTTTCACGGGCCCTGGAGGCAGACATTTAAAGCAAAAAAGAAATATGTTATCTCACATCCGGAAGAAGAGCTTTAATTCTGGCCAGTGGCACCAAAACAAGGGCTTGAAGTACATTTAATTTTATTTGTGCAGTGTGTAGGTATTCAATGGGGCAGAATTCTATTTTTTTAAAAAATTAGTCACACAATCATTTTGCTGCAAACGTATTATTCCCGGCCTCTTAATCCTCCTGGTACCAAGCCAGATACCTCCTGAAACAAACCCATCAACCATTGCCAGTATTTTTAAAGTCCTGAACCGGTGAAGTACCTTTTTCCCCCCATTGGAACACTTTTGTTGTATTTTACAGTCTTGTTTCACGTATTGGATTAGGTTAACACTCCTTCCCTCTTTGGCATCCTTGATACCTTGCTGTCATCCTGGGGGAAGATGCCAGGTTTTATGTCTGTGTTTTGCCAACTAAGAGACATCTCTGCCTGTTACCTTCAGGTATAGTTGCCAAGAAAGAAGTTAAATTCCAGAGGTGGAAACACTGTCCACAAAAACTCTTTTTTTAGAAATCTGACTTCCCGTTACTGTGATTATTATATTTTGTGTGATATGTGATGTTATGTTGGTGGACAACGTTGTGAAGTCCAAGCATTTTAACTAGATTTCGTGTGCACTAACTTAATAGGTAATCCATTTGTGAGATAGTGAGTTTGTATCCCAGTGCCAAAGCGCTTAACCGCCTATGCTCACAGGGTCAGAAACATTGTATGGTTACTTTGCTCTTAATTGTAGAAAGATCAAATTTCCAGGGAATTGACCTAAAAACCACAAACATGCGGAAATGAGACTCAAAATTCTGAGTCCAAGAATAGGGCTCATCTCTTCTAATAGTAAGTCCTTGTGGTCTCATATTTAAGTGGAAAAATCACTTTCAAAGTTGAATAGTATAACTGGTGTACTATTTTACAACAAAAACTTTTAAGGAAATAAAAGTCACAAAAACCCTGATTTGGGGTGGGATGATGGCAAAAAAGACATGGGTGCTTTGAAGAGCAGGACAGGTGAAAATCAGTGGACGGGGAGAGAGGAAGTCACTATTATCACTCTTCCTGCCTGGATATGTTGGATGGAAAGTAGCTCTTTCCCTTGCAAGAATATTTCAGGCATTTTCAGGTGGTGTTTTTTGTTTTTTGTTTTTTTTTCCGGGAGTGGGGATATTTTCTGTGGGTATAAGTACACTATCACCATGCCGTTTTTGCAGAGCGTTAATCCAGCTACCTAAAGAGCAAAGTACTTGGCCACAGGGATTAAATTCATTTCTTCATTGATACCAATTGGCAATTTACATGAGACACTGTCTTTTTTCTTTCTTTTTTGCGGGGGTGGGGGTGGCACGTCCATAGACCATTTTGACAAGTAAAAAACGTCTGAGAAAAGAACCGAGCCGGGCGCAGTGGCTCACACCTGTAATCCCAGCACTTTGGGAGGCCGAGGAAGGCAGATCACTTGAGATCAGAAGTTCGAGACCAGCTTGCTCCCCATGGTGAAAACCTGTCTCTACTTGAAATACAAAAATTATCCGGGCATGGTGGGATACAACATATAATCCCAGCTACTTGGGAGGCTGAAGCAGGAGAATCACTTGAACCTGGGAGGTGGAGGTTGCAGTGAGCTGAGATCACGCCACTGCACTCCAGCCAGAGTGAGACTGTCTAAAAAAAAATTTTAAAACCTACCTGAACTAACTATACTGCTTTTGATGCAATGCTTCTGTCACCCCACTCACATGTGTAGGTGGGGTGATAAAGAGAGGTTGGTTAATTGGTACAAACATACAACCTTAGAAGGAATAAGTTTTAGTGTTTAATAGCACAGTAGGGTGACTATAGTTAATAGCAACATATTGTATATTTCAAAATAACTAGAAGGGAAGCTTTGAAAATGTTCCCAGCACAAGAAATGACAAATGTTCAAGGTGACAGGGGAGGGGGGCAAAAAAATGTCCAAAGTGATAGGTACCCTAAACACTCTGATCTGATCATTACCCACTGCATGTATCAAAATACCTCATGTCCCCCATAAACATGTACAAATACTATGTATCAATTTTTAAATTTTTTAACAACAAAAGATGCATATACCAAAAGCATCACTCACTACTTTAGTCAGATTCAGAGAACCCTTTTAGACCATACTTGAGTTATTGTCATGAAGTATCTTTAAAAAATGGTTGACAGTGAAGGTAGTATCTTGAAAGTTGTTCTAGCTATTTCAGTATTGTAGTCAAGTCTTGAAATACAATTTAATTAAAAGACATATTCTAAATAGAAGGCTGCCTCTCAATGGCCCCTATTGCTACATTTACATAGAAACTCAAAATTGCAATTGCTTAACAGGGAGAGAATCACAGTACTGGATATTATTTATACTTTCTCTTCCAAAACGATTTGAGGAAGTTCTGTGCTGGCCATTGTTTACATTATGTTAGGAGATCTGGATGTCACTATTTACCCATATCCTCGATTTCCTCACTTTTAAAAATGTCATATGTTTTTGTAAGTTTTCGTAAATCCTTTGGAAATGTGATGACAGTAAAAAATCCCCAAAGGCTTGTATACACCTGCTGATGTGGAAAATTTTGCAACCCCTTTCTTCCCTACAAAGAGAAGAGACAACTAAATATTGTTTGATCTACATCTGCAAGAGCCTAGCCATTCGGTATTAAACAGTGATGGCCCTGGCTAATGGCACAACACCTGATGACCTATACTCTTTCCTTCACACTCCCTTCTGCATTCCTTCCCTCCTGAACATCTATCAAGTGGACCATTTGAAATTGCCAATATATGACTGGTTTTTTTAATCTTAAAAGGTGGCAATTCTATATCACTCAACCTAAATTAATGTCTGAAGAATATAACTTTTGTTTCTATGATTGTGACCTTACTTTTAACCATCCGAGATCTCTTTAATCTGTTCACACTGGATTTCAAGGATCTTAACTTGTTCTACTACAAAATGACTATCACACTTCAGAAACATTCTGCTTTACATTAAATACACTCATATTTCATCTCTTTCTTTCTCAAAAATAGTAATGAATAACCTGAAGCTATTAAAGTGTGATGTCCTTAAATGAGGAGCAACAACCTTCAGCATGGAAGGTATTCATACTTGATGATTCAATTTGATAATAGAATTTGTTTATTTTCTCTGGTCATATAAACCAGACATACACATACATCAACTAATCTCAAAAAAGTCAATGATACCCAGAACCTAGTTAGAGGAGAGAAAAGGGAAAAATAATGATGATGCCAAGAGAAGATCGTATTGTACTGTAGAAAATATTGAAAGCAGTTTTTACCTGGCCTTTAAGGAACAGAATTTTTGCAGCTCCCCCTAAAATGGCTGAGTGCTACACCATGTCATCACTCTTCCAACCAAACAGCTGGAATAAAAAATGTAATTATACACACATATATGTGTATAATCTATACACATATATGTATAATCTATATATACACATACGTATATATGTATAATACACGTGTTAATATATAAACAGAACAATAATATATTAAATGAAAAGAGATGACTGTCATGGATAAATCTCAGACAATGTTGTGTGATAAAGGTTAGTTATAGAAGAATAAACATTATGCTACTTTATATAAAGTTTTTAAATGTACCAAGTGATATTCTATACTATATATGGATATGCACATATGTAGTAACACTGTAATTGCAAAGGAATGATAAGTGCTAAATTTAAAAATGGTGATCCGGCCGGGCGCGGTGGCTCAAGCTTGTAATCCCAGCACTTTGGGAGGCCAAGGCGGGTGGATCACGAGGTCGAGAGATCGAGACCATCCTGGTCAACATGGTGAAACCCCGTCTCTACTAAAAATACTAAAAATTAGCTGGGCATGGTGGCACGTGCCTGTAATCCCAGCTACTCAGGAGGCTGAGGCAGGAGAATTGCCTGAACCCAGGAGGCGGAGGTTGTGGTGAGCCGAGATCGCGCCATTGCACTCCAGCCTGGGTAACAAGAGCGAAACTCCGTCTCAAAAAAAAAAAAAAAAAAAAAAAAAAAAAAATGGTGATCACCCTTGGTATGAAGAGGAGAATGGGATTTGAATGAGTTTCCCATGGGCTTTGTTTACATTTGCAAGTTTTACTTAAGCTAGGCTGAATGTATTATTATTGTATTCTCTATATTGTTCTCTTTGCCTGAAATACGAGCATTATTTTAAACTAAAAATAAATAAATAAATAAGTATCCCCAGGTAACTGATCAAAGGGGTGGAGGCAAGAGAGAAAGATTCAAATATGACTAAGTTTCCCACTTTTTAGTAACTGGAAAGATGAACTGAAGTAAAGGATTTTAAAGGAGCATGAGTAAGGGGTGGGCCATCATGAGTTTGGTCTTAGATGTGCTGAGCTGGAGGCGCTCGCAGGACTTCCATGAGATGGATCACCAACGGACTATGATCAAATTGAGCCTAGAGCTACGGAGAGAAGCAAGGGCAGGCTTGGATGTGGGGACTCTTAACATCTTCACAGGCCTTTGTCCATTTGTCTTCAAACATTGTTCTGTTTGAAGGGTAAACATTCCTTCCTGTCTTTAAAAATCCTCCATGTGACTGTGGTTGTCTCTAGCTACTATCTTTTTTCTTTCCTCCCTTTCCTTGTCCGAAGTCTCAATAACTTGCTGTCTTTCTACTGCCTTCCTAATAGAATTCTACACCCAATCTCAGCATTTTACACTATAAACATTTCCTCCTTAACGCTCTCTCCTCCCTTGAAGCATCAGGTTTCTGGTTTTCTCTCAAATATGTGTTTATTTGTATCTTTACAGTGCTG